TGTCATTTTCTGAATCCCAAACTTCTCCAAAAACTAATTTTACAGAGAACATGCCAAAAAGAAAAAAAAAATGTTCAAAATAATATGTTCTGTAAAGAACTGTTGCGTTTCCCACACACACACAAAGCATATGGCTTATATAAACTGTAAGACAGCCCAACAGGATATAAAGGCTATGTTAGTACGCATTTGGGATGACTGCTGTACCTCACTCATGGTTTACGACTTATACAGAATGTAACAACTTCAAGCTCACTCTGCTAAAATTTTGGATCCTGTATCTTCATATTTTATCATTGCTTGGGCTGAAGCTGTCCATGTGTCATCTAGCCAAAGCCAGGGACCCCGGGTATCTGTGCTTCACTTAATGCAGCCTGAGGGGAATCACCTTTTTCTCCTTCTTGCTCTGGACCCGAGCACTGCAACAGAAGCTGTCCTCGGTCCCTCCACAGCCTGCACCTGCTCAGTGCCACCAGCAGCACCTTGCAGGGCCATCCCATACTCCCAGGAACAGGAAAAGTTGGTCAGATGCAAGAAGGAACCAACGTGCATCCTCTGCTGCCCTGCCTTTTGCACCTGGAGTCTCCTCTTGGTCGTGGGGATAGCACCAGGCAAAAATGTCCACTGGAGAAAGGCTCCAACCCGTAAAGCAAACAAGTAAAATGCCACACGCCTTGCTTATAGTTCAGCACAGACCTTGGGAAACAATGAGTCAGAATAAACTTACTCCTTATATCAACCTGGTTTTTGAAACGACATGATGAGACTTGAATATTGCTAACTGGTGCACAAAGAGGCTAATAATGAAAGTGTTTTTTTTTGCTGAGCACACACACTTAGTCTTCAAGTAACAGATTGGGAAAAAAAAAAAAAAGATTAATTCACAGGTAGAAATTGCTGGCAATCAGCAAATGAGCAGCAAGTAACAAACATGAGTGGAAGACAGCTGCTGGATCTGGTCTTTTCTTTCAAAAAAATGTCAGGCTACAAACTGTTTTTTCTAAGAATTATATATATATATTTATATATACATATATATATATATATAAATATATATAAAACAGGCAGAAACCGAAAGCTGAGACCCAAAGCTGGCAGCATTACTGGTTTGACAAGGCAACCACGTTCCCATACCAGTGGAGAAAGGGAGGTCACGCCTCTGTTGGCAACCGAGCCAGGAGCCCAGCACAGCTCGGCAGGCTGACGGTACACTCATCCTCACACGTTTCATAAAACCCAAGCAGCAGCCAGCTATCAACAGAATTACTCCGAGCTGACACGCCAGAATGCGCCTCCGACTTCTCGAATTTAGCCAAACCCGCAGATTATCCCAAATGTGACAAAATAAATATGCTTTTCTACCCTCAGAGGACGGCGCTGACCTTTGCTAACAGATTCACTGAGAACTAACTGAAATGCACGGAGAAAACCTGCTAAGCCTATTAGCTACTTACAGGAAAAGTATCAGTGCAAATAATTACCAGCAGTATCAGTAAAAAAAGTATTATTTTTGTGTAAGGGCAAGTACCCAACTACTTCTTAACCAAACAACAGAATACACCCTCGCACGGGAGACCAGTTCATGAAACTTCATTTCAGTTTCAAGGAAACAAAGGCCAATTTTGTCATTCAAAGCTCAGTTTGCCCTTTGTTCTTAAACGGGCAAGCTACACTGTTACTGTTAGCTGGACATAATCACACACAGACCGGTAAGGTAAAACATGAAATTAGCAGGGCATTACGTTTTTACATTTGACATTTAACGTGGCAGCGCGTTTGACATTAAATGTGACAGTGTATCTTAGCTCAAATAAAGGCTACTTCCAGAGAGTCAGCAGCCCTTAACGAGTACGTGATCACTAATATGCCCTGGTTTTCGTTTGGGGCGTGTGCGAGTGGAATCCGTCTCTTATCGCTCCTGGAAAGCTCCTGCTGAAATGGACACGGTTACCTTTGGGAAGAATACTGGCACCTAACCAAAACTGGGGAGGTATCTTGGGACCAAACACTGCCTCGCAAACCACGTCTGCTTTTTCTTTTTTTTTCTTTGCTACGATAAAAATCACAGAAGCGTATTCATTCCCATTACTTAACAACGGAACCTATAAACTCCTGCTGATTCCTTTAGCCATTTCTAAAGCATAATTTACAATCCTACACTGCAGATAAGGGTACGCTGTTCACAAGATTAAAGTCAAGGTCACGTACTGCACATGCACTGCTGCCTGTGAAACACAGATCGGTTTCACAGACTCCACATATATTTTTAGAAGGGGCTGCTCAAGCCCTCGGCTAACAGCCCTTGAATTACAAACATGAAGATAAACCTTGACTTAAAAGGTAAAATTTACGACTTTCTGTATCAAAACAGACACAGCCCTGCTGATTCAAGGAAGTACGGCCGATCCTTTCATCCCCTCACAGAACCTGAAAGGGAAATCCCCAACACATTCAGTAAGAGCCTTCTGATGGAGACAAGAGTGAAACTCCCACAGACTTTGGTATGATCACAAGTAGAACATCTCTGAAAAAAAAAAAAAACAAAACACCTGCCTTTGTAATATGTCCACCAGCTGCCCCTACACATATATATTGTACCATCTTCTCAACAAGCACTTGTGCAACTATTCATACTACAGCTACACCAGAAGCCTTAACACCAGAAAGTGAAAGCTTTACGACAGAAAAGGCTTCTGCCTTCCTCTGAAAGCACAATTTACACAAGGTGTCCTTAGCAAACATCACCAAATATCAACGATCAGGAAGAAGTGATTAAACAGACATGCACTAATTTTTATTACCACGTGCTACATGTAATGGGTTGACACCTCCAACACGGACCCCTGGGCTTACTTCATGGATATCTAGACAGGAACCAAAAAAAATCAACACATAAAAAGTGAACAGCAAAACTGGGATTTTTATACACCTTTAATGATGGAAAGATCTTTGAGGCATGTCCCAGATGAACATGCAGAGCAAGACACTATTGTTAGCCACCTAAAAGTAGAGTTTGTTCTCCTTTACGTAGAGGACCTGGTTAAGGACACTCCTTACCAGAAGGGATTAAATGGCAATACCTCTGTGCAGTACTGAGGCACGACACCTTGAACAGCTACAGGTTCCTTCAAGAATCAGCATCTGTACAGTCAGGACTTACCCATAAAGCTGACATGAGGCCATCAGAGATCCAAAACTTCTGCCTCATCTCCCTCACCTTCTGGCAGGTCACTGAAAATGGTTAGGTTGCTAAATACCTGAAAGCCCCACTAAGTTCCTCTGCGTCACTTGGAGGAGGCCCCTTTACTCACTTACACTGCTGTAACCTGCACATGAGCCACCTTCCCTTCTCCTTATTTCATCAAGGAACCAGAGACCTACAGCTTCAGAAGCCATTTGTAACTTCAATCAATGTGTGAAGACCTTCAGCAGCGGGGATACAGCTACGTGGCTAAATAAAAGGGGGACAAGGAATAGGTACAAGCAGCATGCTCATCATCCACACTGCTCCACTATCACCCGGCTCCTGGCCTACTCCAAACAGTCAGCTTTGAGCCAGACAGACACGTAAGGCAGGGAAACTTAACCTTACACAGTATTGCCATTACCTAGAGGCACAAGTTATTGACTAGAGGAGAGATGCCCCTGTTTTTAACATGAGGATACCTGGCAGGACAACACATGTGGATACACAGCAATCAGTTTATGACACCAATCTTCCTCATAGATGTGAGGACCCCTCAGGATGAATGGACGACTATTTATGAATTGAATAAAGCATCACAATTCTCAAATAAAAATGTAAAAAAAATAATAAAATCCTAAAATAAACACTAAACTTCTACAAAGGGCAGAAGGAATTTGCAATCTAGGTCCCTTTACCATAGACTACCCTGTGTTTTCAGTTAGCTAAATTACGACAGATTCTAAATTATACTTTGTACGTGTTGTTTCTGTTGCTTTCTGGAAATATTCTCAAATACATACTGTCCATGTCTTAGTTCAGTAAACTGCATGACTAAAGTGTAATTTAGTAGCCTACATTAGCCATAATATTTTGAAATTGAGGTAAATAGACTCCTAACATGCTGCCTTTGCAGTGACCTCTTACTTGGGAAGCCAGACAGATCCACTGGATGCCATTCACTAGCAGATAAGCTTAATTTCAAAACTTGGGAGACTCAAGAGAAAAGAGACTGATTTTCAAGAGTTTTTGTAAAGCCATCTGTCTAAATGGCTAAACAATGGCTTTGGTTATAAAGCACTAATTTTTCAGAATCTTGGCCTGAATTTACCACCAGCAGTTTCTCGTTATCCAGCCTTCAGTGGCGCAACTAACATTGCTAAATTTCAGACTTTGAAATCAGCCTATAGGCTCGTGGCTAACGGGAGAAGAGAAACTCTTCAAATTGCTGTTTGACATTATTTTTTTTCCACATTCCCCTAGAGGGAAAAAGTCCAACTTCCTTATTTTTTGTTTCCCAGAAATACTTGTGCGCGAGAAAGCCAGCTTAGATTCTACTACAAAACCTCCAAGAAATGAGAAAAAGGGATGATAACGTGAAATGTAATGTAAAGACAGGTCAAAGCAACAAGTTCAGGGCATCCAAAGTGATGTTATTTACTCCGTTCTCTGTTTTGTTGTTGTTTGGTTTGGTTGTTTGGTTGTTTTTTTGCTAAATATTTTGAAGCAGTAACATCATAAGTATCCATACCTGAGTTGTTTATTTTAGTGTACTCATTTCAGTTGGACTTGAAGCAATAGGTGGGTATTTCAGTAACACGTGCAGTACATAAACACGCCGAATGGCATGTGCGAGCAGAACTGCACAACCCGCAGCAGCAATTTCCAAACACCCACTGAACCACACACACCTGCACCACACCGGGGCTGTTTTACCACTTTAATCTCCATTCTCTCTCTTTTCCTTAGCCCCCACGGCTACACCTCTCTCCCCACCCCACCGCTGTCCCTGCAGACCCCCCCCTGCCCGCGGTACCTCGGAGCCGGGGGAACTCGCGCTCCCGGAGCCCGCCGAGGTCGCCGCCGTAGCCGTAGCCGCCCGGGGAGGCCCGGCAGGACAGCGGCTGCCCGGCCATGCCGCGGGGCCGGGCGGGGAAGGAAGGAGCGAGGCGGCTACGAAGCGGCCGGAGAGACGCAGCGAGCCGCCCGGCCCGGCCTCACCACCCCGCCCCGCTCCTCCCGCCTCACGCCCCCCTTGGGGCAGCGCCCGGCCCCGCCAGCGGAGCCCCGGCAGCTCCCGGGGGCGGCAGGGTGTTCGCCCTGACCCCGCCGCCGGGTGTGCCTGAGGGAGGTGCTCGCCCAGAGCACCTCGGGGTGCCTGCTCCCTGCTCTGTGACCACCAGGGGCGAAGTAGAGCCTGGCCGAAGTGGTCTTTCCCGGAGCAGAAGGGCACTGGGTTGGGTAGAGTCAGGTTGGAAGAGACCTCTGAGACCACCTGGTCCAACCATCCCCCTACCACCAATGTCACCCACTAAACCATGTCCCCAAGCACCACATCGAACCTCTCCTTGAGCACCCCCAGGGATAATGACTCCACCACCTCCCTGGGCAACCCGTCCCAGTGCCTGACCACTCCTTCTGAGGAGAAATGTCTCCTCATTTCTAACCTAAACCTCCTCCGGCACAACTTGAGGCCATTCCCTCTAGTCCTATCACTAGTTATCTGCAAGTAGAGGCCAACCCCCAGCTCCCCACACCTTGCTTTCAGGTAGTTGTAGAGAGCAATAAATTCTCCCCCGCACCTCCTCTTCCCCAGACTAAACACCCCCAGTTCCCTCAGCTGCTCCTCACAGGACTTGTGCTTCAGGCCCTTCACCAGCTTCGTAGCCCTTCTCTGGACACATAGTCAGTAATGTGCCCTTCTTCCTAAATCCTCTCCTCTTGCAGCTCACTGCTTAACATAGGGATAACCATAGGTAGCTCATGGAAATAGCCGTTCCCTCAAGTCCACCTCCACTTTTCCTCATTTCACCTGGATGATACATCTTTGGTTGCTGCTGATAGATGGTGGAAATGGCTTTCGCCCACCTGCAGTTTGATGTGTCACACTCCTCCATCTCACTTAACCAGCACAACTAGCCACAGATGCTCTGTGGTCAGCGTGCAGGACCATGGCTAGCCAGAGGCCTGAAGGAGTGCCATGGGCGGGCAGGCACATACAGATAGATAACTGCAGGTATAAACACCTTTGCTTTGTAGGATAAGCTGTAACCATACACACACAAAAGTATCAGCCAAAGGAAGTTTGTTTGTTTGTTTTTTTCACTTTTTTTTCCTCAAAATCATGATGTAATATAATTTGATAACAGATTTTTGTATTTGCAACTCTGCGATAAACCCTTCAATATTTAGAGAGTTAAATGACCCCCCAGTCCAATCCTAAAAATAAAACCTTACAATAAATCTGCATCAGACTTCCAGTAAGACAGAGACTTTATTTGAAATGCTATTAATTGAGCATCAGTGAGGCAGGAAACCGATGAGAAAAAAAGTTCAGCCCAAATAGAACTGTATTAACTTAGCATTTTATTAAAAATACTGAATAAAAGTGATGCAGAAAATTAAAAAAAAAATAAAAAATGTTCCCTACTTTGTATATTAGGAGATTTTGCCCAGTTTAAGAAAACAATCCTGGCTGCAAGGCACTCAGGAAAATCTCTATAACGCTGTAAGAATATGTTTATCCCTGACTGTGTCTTCATGACTGACATGTCCTGTGTCTCATTTCCACATGTAGTCCTCTTTGACAGGACTCATCTTGATACTGTGATTTTCACACCATCACCAATACTGTTACTCTCTACATTTTGTTTCCAAACCTTTTTTTTTTTTTTTTAGATGCCAAAGCCAGAAGAAAAACAAGAACATTGTCAGTCATCTACAAAGTCCACTGTTTCATTTTGGTGCAATATATCAATGTAAAACAAATGTGTCCATTTACAATAATATACCCCACAACATGTATGTTATGAACATTTATACAAGTACATTTTATATACGTGAACATTTTAAATGTCCCAAGTACATACATACTTTTGCTCTGAGGCCCCAGTTTTAGGCAGTCTAAAATTTAAAAGAGTCACTACAATTTGATGTGCATAATACCAGTACCTCACCGCTCTTTGGCCTTCAGAATATTTGAATTTTTAGCCTCAGTTTTGAAATGAGAGATCTGCAGAGAAACAAGAAGTTTCTTCTTTCCATCCATAACTAATTCCTGTCCTAACTTGTCAGTTTAATCCCAGGAGAAAGTTTCACAAGAACCAATGTCTGGATAGGGGAGAGGAACCTCGGCTAGTTCCCCCACTGAAAGAAAAGCTGTCACATTTCAATCCTCAGCTCACCACACACTTTGTCTGGCAGGTGCAGGCAACAGGCATACGTGAGGCTTTGGCACAGCCACGAGGCATGCTGATGCCTGCCAGGCAGGACTGCAGGAGTGTGTGACAGTGGGAGCTGGAATACAAGGGTACAAATCCGTATGAAGCCAGGTTTTAGTTGTCCTGCTGTTCACAGAATTTAAAAACACATTCAGGGCAATAATCAAGACCTTTTGTCATTTCTTTTGATGGGGCCAAAAGCAGGAGGGAAAGATGAGGAGGAAGAAGGGAGTACAAGAATCCAAACATGACTTCTTTACTGTTATTAACACTTTAGTTTAAAAGACTGAGTGTATTCAGAAAATAGTAGGAGCTGCACAGAAACCTGAAAATGATCTTTGGGCAAAGGGGTCTGTTTTGTGTTTTTCACATGGAAAATGGGGTTTAACTGCTAGTAAAAGCCTGCCAATTGTTTTCTGATGCTACCTCAGGAACAGCTTCACAGTGCCTACATCCAGAGAACTTCTGCCAGTGTATTCACCTGAGAGCTTGCATAGACACCAGCTGGGACCTAGTCTGAACCTCTCAAACAAATATGTACGTAGTTATTTGTTATGTGTACTTAGTTATAGTATGACTTCATCATAAACGTTGCCTAACAGGAGCTGTTACTCAAATCACGTGAAGATGACAGCTTCAGCACAATCCTCAGCACAGTGGTATCAGGCAGAAAGGTAGTACTCTCAGGACCAGCAAAAGACAACATCTAAAAACTTGAAGCCAAACCAATATCCTTTTGCGCAGAAGACAACGTGGGTCTTCCTTCTCTAACAGTTCTGAGATACAATTAGAAGATACAGCACGTATCCAAAATATTTTTTTGGTCTAGCTGATGATTTCACAAAACCTAGTTACCGAATGAGCTATACCTTACTCATTTCCTTCCAAATGAACAAAACACCTCCATTGAAAAAGAACAGTTTGTATACTTTTTTTTTTTTTAAATAGAACCCTGCACCAAATACTACCCTTTTTATTTTAATAATTTATGCATTGCAATTTACAAGTCAGTCATTGCTATGACTTTTTTTTTTTTGAAAGAATGTATATAAAATACCTGCCATGAATTTTTCCTTGTATTTCTAGCTTGCTGTTATCAATTTCCATAGCAATTTATTTTTATCGATCACTCTGTATGGTTCCCTCATCATTTTCATATATTAAGTCAAAGACTTGTATTCAATTCCTTATTGAACCAAAACTAGTTTTCCCCACCAAAACTGTCCTTTTTCTTGTGAACAGAATGAAGCTTTCTGATCTTAACAGTAAATTCATTTGAATGATCTAACTTCCGTTCACATTTTTGTGTAAATATGTTGCCTTACAATCTTTGTTTTTCTTCTCAGTTTTGGAAGATTGTCCCTTTGGAAGTAACACAGACACAGAGGGAATACTAATTGGGAATGCTCTCTGCACGTTGCTTCATTGAATGTAGTCTGGTGATGATCTCTGCTGCCAGGCAGAGCTACCAGTTTCCAATACAAGGCTACCAAAATCTTGCCCAATACAATACAAACCCAATACAATCTTGAACCACCATAAAGGCCACCGTAAGTCTTCTAAGTGACACTCTATGTCGGTATAGAAGCTTGTGTTTGAAAATGAGCACAACTTGTGAAAACTAACAAAGTCTTACCGCTGGCTCCATTTCTGAGGTAGACACAGGATGGAATTTCCACATGAAACTGTTTTGTGGTTTTTTTTAAACATTGACCCATTGCATATTCATAGTTACAGGGCAGCTTTTCCTCTTTGGTTGCCAAGTGAAGCCAGGGGATCAGTCAATAAGCATATTAATTAATGTATATATATAGGTGGGTAGATACATTGCCTAGAGAGTCATGCTCACAAACCTATAAAATGATAAATGCTGTTATTAAGTGGAACACTGTGCACACATACTGGGCCCACAAAGGACATGTGTGTACATAAGTGCTTTTGCAGGTTCTTTCCTTAACGAAGGTTCAGAAGCAGATACAGAGCAAGTTAAGTTGCTCATTCCAAGTTTTAGCAGAGTGAGATAGTGCCTCCAGGTAAGCTAGTTAGTAGGGTTCTTGATTCATAAATTTATTGTGTGCCATTCCTTGGGAGATATTACAAAATAAGAAAAAGGTTTCTTTAATCCCTTCAGCACACATGACAATACATTTTTCCTCCCTCTTTAGCAACTATTCAAAAGCACTATGGAAAGCTAGCAGCAATAGCCTCCATGGAAAGACTTTGCAAACAACTCAAACTCAGAAAACTATATGCTGTTGTATAAAGGGGTTGCACCGTCCTCTCGCAGCTCCACAGAAAAACAATGGGACTGCAGTACTGGTTCCTAAGGTTCAATGAAAGTAATAAACCATCATCATAGTGCAATTACATGATGGGAGAGTATAGAGAAGATCGAATGTGCTCAGTAGAAAAGACAAAAGACAATGGACAAAAGCCAAAACAAGGGAAATTCTGACTAGATGGAAATAAAAGAAAATTTCCTTGAGAGTGGCCAAACGCTAGAGCACGTTGTTCAGAGAGGCTGGGGAGTCTCCATCCTTGGAGAGACTCAGGGCCTGCCAGTACACAGCCCTGAGCAACCTGCTCCAAGTGAATGTGCCTGGAGCAGGAGGTTGAACAGGAGACCTCCAGAGTCCCTTCCAACCTCTGTACTTCTGTAATAATTAATTCCAATGATCAGCAAAATATTTCTAAATAATTAATGTTTGACTGTTAGCACCAGCTCTCAGATAGCTTGGCAAGCAACAAAAAAGGTTGTCCTGGGGCAGAAGCATGGATTACACAACCTTTCTCTGTCTCCCCCAGCACATTTTGTGACTGTATTTCTAATAAATCCTACCTGTATACAAGCCAACTGCACAGCATCGAATGCACACAGGATCTGTAGCTGGTTGCAAA